AAAATTTTCTTGTCCACAACATTGAACCTCACAAGTTAACGATTTGAATGACTCCACAGAATTCATAATACAAGTACAATCATTTTTAATGTGTTTTTTTCTTTTTAAAGCAAGCCAAAAAAAAATTATGTTTTATTTTTTATTTAAAAATAATGAAAAATTGACCCATGTGTCAAAAATACTTTGTACCTGTATTCTGAAATTTAAAAAGTATCAGTTCTACATCTTCTAAGCACATCTCACTTTTTATAGCCTGATAGCTTCTTCCAATACATGTATGAGAAAGAATCATTCAGACTGAGGCTTTGACAGCTTTGAAATGCTTGCATTGGATTTTTCATCTCATTTTTAAAGAATACACATTTACGGCTCTGAGCCTCTGATTTTAAAGAAACATCACAGTGACTGCTATTTATCACTGGGGATACTGGTCGAAACTTTATAATGCACACTTGAAGCTCAGTCTTCGTATACTTTGCATGGGTCTTGATCGCAGTCCCGGAGTTGTTGCTGGAATTTAGGCCAATACTGAATGTTAAGTTTACTGCATCTTTCTTTAGTCTACTTTTGTCTCCTGTAAACAAGTATGTGCAAATTTTACTTTTGTTTTGTACAGAGTTAAAGTAGAATATAATTAAAATTTACCTAGGAAAAAGCAAAGACCCTACAAGTACTGATCAAGTGAAGGAAAAATAACTAATTATTCCTGGTGTTAAAATTTAATAAATATTGTCTATATATCTATAATAAATTTTAATATCATGTATAAATTACAGACTTGTTCATTTGCTAATGAATCAATTCAAATCTATGGGGACATAAAAACACCATAAACTCCTTTTGTCCTCATTTCAAAAAGAAAACTACCAATGTACATTAAATTTATCAGATTTAATCCTACACAACAAAATCATGAATTCTTTTGACAGTTAAATCGATTTAAAAATTTTGAAATGATAATGCCTTGTGTCAAGCTATTTTACACACTGTTCATATAAATAGATCAAATGTCGTTTGCCGAAAAAATTAGAAAAAGTTCACTTTTTTCAGCTTAGTTTAAGACAAAATTGTCAAAAAGTCCGACATTTTAATTTATACATTTTTTCATTGTTAAATGTATATGATTAATGACATATAATTCGTGAATTACTTATTAGAATATATCAAAATTATTGTTTTACCGAAAATCTAACCCTTCTTAATCGCCGTCTCCGAAATTCTGATGACAAGCGCCAACGTCGTCTTTACCATGCAAGCTTCCCTAGTCAGCTGATTTTAATGGCCGATTTAGCATCTCTTTTCGTCTCAAACAAATGTCTGGATATGAAAAAAATGAGTGTCCGCAACCTCTACAACATCCTGGCACATCACAGCGAGTTGGCATTCCTTACAAATAAATTAATTTGGAGGTATATTACCAGGAGAAACTTCTGTGTCTCGCCACGCTACCATTTTTTTACACTCAGTCAAGCGCTTGACAAATTCAAACGTTTGCGTAACCACCTCTAATACCGCAGCGCCACTCGACGGTTAATGACGTGAATGCATACTATTGGTTTTATATCCAGGAGCAGAGAAGAAGATATTTGACGAATCAATGTATTTTCACTATATAAAAGCCATTCTTTGTAACCACTTAAACTTTTGTGGCACGCTAGTCACAGATTTTTTTTCAAGTTTGGCTTGGAAGAACCACCTCATAAATTTCATCAAAAAATATTGTTAGATCATGTTTTGTAATGACATGCGGCTACTTTAATTTGTTACAAACAGAAATAAAAAATCTAACATCTTCATATGCAAATACTTCTTTGGTATTCTGTCCATAAATATGAGAAATTTCCATTAAAAGCCGGCTTCATTCAGAAAAATGAAATACCTTCCTTTGATTATTTTGAACTCTTTAGTGTGGAAGGTAAGAAAACAAAGGATGGGAAAATGGCAGAAAGTTGTATGCTAAAAAAATATATCCCATGATTTCATACAAAATCACCATGTAGTTTCAAGTTTATTGGTGTGAATTCAATCCCAAGGGAAAGGTAAGCTATATATATTTCAGATTTAGGATATATATTACGTGTCTTTGAAAACATTTGCCATTACATTGATAATGCTGTGATATGTAACATTTATTTAACAACCACTTAAAAGAACTGACAGATTGATTGATTAATTGTATGTTGTTTAACGTCCCTCTCGAGAATTTTTCACTCATATGCAGACGCCACCACTTGCCGGTGGAGGGCTACAAATTCTGTCCTATGCTCGGCACTCAGGGCCTTTGAGCAGTGAGGGATCTTTTTCGTGCCAGCACCTACTGCGACACTGGGCCTCGGTTTATACGGTCTCATCCGGAGGACCGGTCTCCACGTCCCACAGTGGGATTCGAACCCGCGACGTAAGGATTGACTCCTTACTTCGCGACTCTAGAGAAGACGCTCTAACCACTGCGCCACGCGGGCGACAAGAACTGACAGAAACCGTGATTATAACAAACTGCGTATTGTAAAATGCATGGTCCCCCAAAACTTGGCAACCAATACATTTCCCAAATAACACGAAAGAAGACTAACTGAAGAACATGATTAACAAATCCATGCATCAACAGGCATTACTTTCTCTATTGGAACAGGTAAGTGCAGTGTGCTATAGTATACTGTAATATCAAAGTCCTATAGGCTAGCTTTGACTTTTTTCATCATATGTAGAACATGCAAGTGTACTACTGTGCATTTCAGACTTACTTAGAATCTATTGCAATGCAATTTTGATCTGTATTAACAGTGTCCTAGTATTTCAGTGTTGAAGACTACTAGGCGGCAGTATGTGAAGAATAAAAGATTCACTGAAATTTAAAATACAACTTTTGAAATAACAAGTGATATACCTATACCTTGTGTTCAAATCATATGCATCTTGTTTCTCTCTCTCTCTCTCTCGACAATTTTTTGTCACTCTCCGTCATATGCATTTTTTGATGTCATTGTCTTGCATATATCAGTGTTAAGCACAAAATGTACCGTTTGTTTCAATTCCTTATCATGACTTCACTTGTACGTGCCTGCAATCATTTATGTCATTTTAGGTAGATACATGTATTTACTATGTACATATAGAACTATTTTGTTGTTTGGGAAAAAATATTTTGAATATCATGTTTTTCATTTTAATGTCAAAATTTTGATGCAAGTCCATATTGAAGAGGTGTCTAAGAGAATATGCTTATGATGGATATAATGTTAAAGTCACATATTTAGGAATTTGGAAGCATCGTCGGTAACGGGTGATTCACATCGATTCTCTCTATGCACGAGGAAGCTTGTGGACCCAAAACCCGTGGTTTGCGACGATGATTTAAAAGTAGCTATAAGTCAACATGGACAATCCAAATCATTTGAAACTAGTATTTTATACTTCATTCAATATATTTACTAGTCTTACTTGCAGAGAAAAAAAATCTATATTGTAAATTCCATATTAAAGTATTCTTAACAAGTTATATTATAGTTTTATTTTCAATCAAACTAGAACAGTATTAGTGTTTTAAAGACTTCCGAGTAAAGTTAAGATTTGACCTAAAAAGTTATAAAAAGTATCATTACTCTCTTGGTAAACATTTAAAAACTTCTGTTTTTGTATCATTTTATATCTTTAAGTGACAACTTTAGTATATGTGAGAATATGAAAAATTTAAATAACATGTATAGGAAGCATATAAACATAACTAAACTATTCTTAAAAATTTAAGAAAAGCTGAGGAAATTCGGATTACCCGATATTCATTTTTGTCAAATAAAATATCTGAATTTGGTAATATTATCCTATAGGTCCTATATGGAAGTTTCTTTTTATGCTTAAAAAAAACATTCAATGTTTGTAAATAAAAGTAGGGATCACATGATTGGCAACAGAATTTTTTTGGTTCTTAATGTCCGGGAAAAATTGTTTTGACCTTGAACTGACTTTGCCTTTGATATAGAACGGTTTTATTTTATCTTACTGATACCATCATTTAGTGATATTGTCTTCTTGATTCTGTAAAAAATTCATTCATTTTTAAATACAGGAGATGTGAGAGGAGTCCTTCCAAACGTAACAGTATTAAAACACCTTATTTCCTAGTTTTCGTTCTACTTCGTGCCATTTTTGTTCTTGACCTTTGACCTTTTCACCTAAAATCTTTTTTTAATCATTTGCTTCAGATATTGTTTACAAAATATAAAATGTGGGTCTCAATTCAATGTAAAATTCTTATGTTTTATTAGAGAAAATCTTATAGGTAATGCCTCTGGTCATTTTTTTTTTTAATAATATATGAAAATTCATTACTTTGTAACCATTGTAACATGAAAAGATATTAAAACCAAACAAGTCAATGAAGTTAATTGAAAAACAGACTATGTACTTTAACACCATGATATTCATTTTTTTTTCCTGCAAGTCTGCAAATTTTTTTTACCAAACTTTTTTTTTTCCACAAGGGCATTTAAACTGTTTAATTCTCCTTTAAAAACAACCCCAAAGGCTGGTTATTTTTTTTACTATAATAATTAAAAATTATTCAAACACTGCAATTAATTATAAGTATTAGAAATACGATATATTTTAAGATAAAAATTGAGTCAATATAATTTCTAGATTATATTACAGGATTTTCTCTCAAGATTGCAATTTTTCAGGAAAAATAGCTGTTTTAAGGCCCTAAAAATGTACACTAGTTGCCGTGGTAACCATTGCCCATAGCAACCATTATATTATGAATATTTAGTTCATGCATGAATATAACAATGTGTGTCAAGTTTCATAAAAAGCCCCGTGGGGATCCGGGTTAGAATAGGTCCTCAGTACCCCCTTGCTTCTCGTAAAAGGCGAATAAATGGGGCGATCCTTCGGATGAGACCGTTTAAACCAAAGCAACATATGCACACGACTGGAAGGAAGAGAAATTCGGGGAATTCTTACAGGTGATGATGGATACCTACTCAGACCTTATTTGATTACTTCACTATTCACGTGTACAAACAGGGAGGAGAGGCGTTTTAATATCCCATCCACACTTACGTCATATTGACAATATGGCGTCGGTTTCAAAGAAATAAACATTCCGAGTGTTGAGTTGTTTACAAATGGCGTCCCTTAAGTGTCACCGTCAAATTTAGTTTGATATCTTCTTGTTACTGTTTTTATATTAGTGTTTTTAATATTTTTTATACATATTATCTACATAATGGATACTGGTGATCAAACTTTGACTTTGGATGCATTTTTACCCGGAAAACAGATGCTTTACGTGAATATCATGGAAAACGCGGACTTGTTAAAGACAAGGCCAATCCAGAACTTGAAACGTTCGCTTATTCGGCACATATTTGAAAATTCCAGAAGTACTATAGGCCGCAGAAAACATGAAGGTGAGACAGAAAGATAATTGTGGAATATTAACGGGACCTTCATACCAGACCCTTTTTCACTTCAAGACCAGTGGGTAGATGAGCGATATGGAATGAAATACTGGCCACCTATTTACTTTTTACATTTTCGATCTGTACATTGTAAAACTAAGTATAACAGAAATGAAAATGCAATCAGGCCTCCGTTATGTAATATCATGGGCTACACTTCAGTTAATCCTAATCGTAAGCCTTTGAAACATGGTCTAGGATGGAACCTATATACAAAGATGCTTGTTTTTAATATTAAAGAAAATCACAAAAGTGTTCCTGTGTCAGAATGTGGCATTTTTATTGACCCAGTGCGACCTCCTTTAGCCGCTTCTCCAGGTTTGCCCTTTACTTGTTCATGTTGTGGTGATGAAGTAGCACAATTTAAGTGTCCTATGATATCAAAATGTTCTGATTATACCGATTTTTGTGCTTGCAACTTACCTAACGAAAAATGGCTGAAATATTGCCGACTCGGCGTTAAACAATATAAAATCAATCAATCATAAACAGACAATAGAGAACGTATAAACTCTTTCAGGATAGAGAGCAACTTCGAATTATAAGAGTGTATTCGAAACCTTTGTTCTTGATCCGAGAACGCGTTCGTAATTAAATTCTCAGTTCTCGAACGCCAAGAACACAACTCAGGAACGGGTTCGCGATTCAAGAATATACACCACCACGCTAGGTAGTGTGAAACAAGAACAAGATGGCGGGAAAAGGTAGTCGGTGAGTGAAAAAAGAATTGTTGAGGGTAATATTTGGAATTTTAAGCCAAAAATGTTATTTTTATTGAAAGCAGATTTTAATTAAAAATAAAATAATTGACATCCTTTATATTTCATTCTAAAAGTAATTGGTGCGGACACAAAACAACTGCTTATCAAAGTCTCGCCACACACAAGGGGGTATGTACAGGCCCACAGTTACATGTGACCGAATGCGATTCCTTGTTCGCTCTTGAGTGGTTTCACACTTGTTGTGTGACTAGTGTGACTAATGACGAGCAGCTTAATTAATAAAAAGATTAAGATGAAAAGTCGCCCCTGTGTGTGTGTGAGGGTGGGTGATTATTATTATTTTTTTTACAATGGCTACATGTAGAGCCCTGTATTCATCAATAGCACAGTACCATGATAAAGATATATACTAGTAGCTCGATATCAAGTTATTCTGTAATACCTTGATAAAGCTATGTAGCTTTATCAAGCTATACTTTATCAGGGTATTGTTGTGCAACTTGTAAAACCAAAAAAAATATAGGGATGAAATATCAAATTTATTTATGTAGGCCCTACTTTTTATTTAGATAAATGAATGGATATATTGCATTCAATTTCATGATGGATTAATTTTGAATTTGTAAAGAATTTCACTCAATATCAGATATAAAATGTAATTTAAATCTAATTACCACTGTGTGTAAAATAAATCACTTAATTGAAGAACATGTATATAAAATGCATGGTTACTGTCTTGAAAATATAAGCGATATTTGGGCTAGGGTAAGAAAATGTGATAGAGGGCGAAGGCTTGCCGAGCCCTTGTTACATTTTCGACCCCGAGCCCAAATATAGCTTATATTCCAAGACAGTTATCATGTATTTTGTTTATCCTGCAACAAAATTTTACATTTGTGCATCAAAACAAGCTAATTCCGACAGATTTCGGCACATCTTCTGCAGTTAAAACTATGACGCCATGGCGTAAACATTGCAGTAAACGTGACGTCACAGTGCTTTTTGAACGTCGGAATAACTGCATGAGGCTTTATTAGGGCTGTGACCGGATAAAGCTTTGGTTTATTAGGTTACCTTTATTAGGTCAATGCAAGGGGTAGTTGCAGGATAATATACATAACCTGTAGTTAAACGGGGCGAAACCACTCGGCACAATACCACTCGGTGCGAACAAGTAATCGGGATGAACCCACGGGTTAACATGTGACCCAAAGAAAGAAAATGCATCTTTTGCTTGAATTCTAGAAAATCAGCAATGTTTCAAGACACACACACATGTACACTGAGGCATTGTCACATATAACTTTTGTCATACCGGGGTATATATTATAGTGTATTCCATTATTTTGATTAATAAGACTATGAATTATCTTTTTAAAATTTCAGTACAAAAAAAGCTATGGATCAGGAGGAGGAGATTTTTACCATAAGTTTATTAACACAACAGACCAATTGGAGTATGAATGTGATGTAACAAAGGAAGTTTTCCTGCTTCTTCAGACAGGTATCTGCAATATCGAAAGAGGAATTAAAAATGCATTTTTGTTACACTGTTTTGTAACTTAGAATACTTAAAGGGGAATATTCAATACACACACACAAAAACACTCTTGGATTCTCTATTTTATAGATGCACAAGCAAGAGAGGAATTCCTCCAGAGTATGAAAGCAGATGGGCTAAAACCAGGTAGTTTTACAGTATTTTCATTTGTTGATCCAATCTCAGATATGTATTTTTTGTTTATTTTTAAAAGAAATATTATTTAATTAGTTACATATAATTGCTAAACATTTTTTAAAAAGTGCTTTTGATGTTAATTTTTCAGTCGACAAGTCCAAACAAGCTCTGGATGAAAAACATGCTGAAGGTATTAAAAGTAATCAAGATGTTGTAATACCCATGAAGCTCGACACAGACTACCTATTATTGTCCCCCGCTTGAAAAGTGGGGGATATTAATTTGGGTTTGTCCGTCCGTCCGTCTGTCCGTCCGTCCGTCTTTCTGTCTGTCTGTAACGCTTTCGTTTCCACACGATATCTCGAGAACCCTTTGAGCTTTCGCAATGAAATTTTGCATAGCAACTCCCTATGAACTAAAGAAGACCTCTATTGATTTTGAGGTCAAAAGGTCAAAGGTCAAGGTCATAAATTCGCAAATTCTCTTATAACACTTTCGTTTCCACGCGATATCTCGAGAACCCTTTGAGCTTTTGCCATGAAATTTTATATAACAACTTCCTATGGCCTAAGGAAGACCCCTAATGATTTTGAGGTCAAAAGGTCAAAGTTCAAGGTCGTAAATATATACATTCTGTCTGTGTGTAACACTTTCTTTTCCGGGCGATATTTCAAGAAGATTTTGAGCTTTTGCAATTGAATTTTATACCAAAAGTCCCTAAGACCTCTCTCACCCCTCTCAAAGTGTCCCGCCCCGTTTGTTTTAGAAAAATTTATTGTATTACATGTCGCTATTTTTAACACAGGGACATGAGGAGAGTTATTACGTATAAAACAGGTTCTCGGCGGACTCTATATTCTTATTTCATCTATTAGAACTGTTTAATAAAGGTTAAATTAGACACAATGCATTGTGTAAAATTTTGAAAATATATACATGTATGTGACTGCATCTTTGTATATACTAGTAGTTTAAATAAACAGGTGGGAAACGAGAGGCTTCGTTGCGTGGTGGTATGTCTCTCGCATTTCGTGCGGGAGATCCGGGTTCGAATCCAGGACGATGTATCTTCTTTTTTTTCTGAATTTTTTTTTAACTAAATGATAGTATTCAGCATGTGAAATGAAAAATTTGAAAGGTGTGGCTTCTACAAACTCATAAAATCATCATCACAGAGTGATAAATATTCCATATAAAAAGAATCTTCTATACTCATAATAAAGAATAGCAATGAAATCTTTATATTCATATTGATATATTTTAGTTCCCTTTAGTATGTGTACATGTATACATTTAATAATTTTTCAAACTCAAGTCAGGGGGATCCGACAACCCCCCTCCCCGAACTGCGCATGGTTTACTTTTTCCTAAGTGGATATAATTCTCTGAATTAGCTTGTTTTGCTATGCATTCCTTTATAATATAATGAATTAATTGCTAAACATTTTTTAAAAAGTGCTTTTGATGTTAATTTTTCAGTCGACAAGTCCAAACAAGCTCTGGATGAAAAACATGTTGAAGGTATTAAAAGTGGTCAATGTTGTAATACCTATGAAGCTCGACAGACTACCCTATTATTTTGCTATGCATTCCTTTATAAGATAATCAAATTAACCAAACATACCACCAAACTTACCTGAAACTTGGCACAGTAAGACCATTTCAAGTCCAAATATTTTTCATACTCTCAGGATAATTAGTCTGCAAGTCCTTGAATGGCATCATAAATACAATGTAACACTTACCATCCTTTTTTCACTTTCTCTTGTGGAAAGGGTAAATATGGGCCTCTTTACACCCTTCCTGCTACACGCTTAAATGGGAAATTTCCCATTGTTATCAATTTTATAATTTTTTTTAAAACCCTCTCCTTTCCATTTATGCCCAAAATAAACCAATTCCACTCAAACACCCCAAAGAATTTTTAAGAAAAGAAACCTTTTTTTAAACTGGAACTACTTGTGTGATCAATGAAATAAGGGTAAAATTGATAGCTTGTATTCAGCTGCATATATAACCTATTTTTGAACTTATTAGTCTTAAATAAATACATGTAAGAAGTTTTTCCTTGTACTTATTCAAGATTCGTGAGCATATTCAAATTTATTTCATTTAGAGAACGACCAATTACCAAAAACCTGGGCAAGAAAAAGAAACGGAATACGCCTGTCGCTCTCCGTATGGAGAAAGATGAGGAGTTCAGGAAGAGCAAAGTCCATCAGAGAATATGGAACAATATTGCAGCAGAAATGACCCAGAAGGCTATAAAGTGAATGGTCAAAAAGCGGCAAATAAATGGAAGTCTTTAAAAAGATCATATATGGAGGTGATTGACCACAATTCCAAAAGTGGCAATGATGCAAAGACTGTGCCATATATGACCGATTTCAATATGTTATATGGAAACAAACCATCAACCAAGCCAGCTTACACTCTGCATTCATCTGGATCCGGATCAGCAACCAGTTCTTCTGAAACAAAACTTAAACCAGAAGTCTCTGTCGAGACTGTAGCTCTACTGGTTTGATTGAACAGGCAGAAACGAGGTGGGGGGTATTTAAAAGTCTGGCATTTTGAGATTCAATTTAAATTCTCATGTAGTTCTCTATGCAAATCAGTTGATCATATACCAATACAAATACCCCAAAGTAGTCATTAATGATTGAGTTA